AGCTTGCCTCAATTGCGATGAAGATTTTCTAAGCCTGATTAGATCGCCAAGTAGACATTAATAGAGCCAAGAATGTCGAGCTTGAATAATTCTTATTGCCAAGCTTCAAACCTTGTTATTTTTAAAAAACATGGTGCCCAGTGAACTTTTTCTACGATTTCAGCTTATTAACTTGTTACTTTACAGAAGGTGGAAAAAGCCATAGAAAAACCAAAAAAGACTGATTGTTTTTTTGTCATATACATTCTTTCCAGTCTGATAAATTGTCTTTCCGTAAATTTTTCTCGAGCTTTTGTGTTAGCGTAATTATTTAGCTATATAGGCTATCAGTTTTGTTCATTTTTGTATTATTTGTTGAGCGGTTATAGGCACACATAATCATATTAATATCAGAATGGCAAATAATGAACGCATATCGTCAGGCAGAGATGTCACTCAACCTCTCAAGAAAAAATATTCCCAGGTATGTGATTTTTTCACTGGATAAATTTACAAAGATTTAGTTAAATAAATTAGAATCAACTTTGACCCAGAATCATTTCCGATACCACAACAATAGCATTGCAAGCTAGCAGACAGGAAAAGAAAGCCACTGAGTCCAAAGAAAACGGGAAAATTTCCGAAAACCACATTCAAAAAACTTTCAAAATGTTGTCTGGAATGATTATCTATATGCGGAAAACACATTTAGAAAAGTATTCGATAGCGTTTACTGGCAATTCGAAAACATGCATCGAGCGAATATAAAATGACTATCATCAAAAGAGATTTTAACGTTTTTGTGAACCGAAGGAAAGCATGCAAATTATGGTTCCCTCAAACGACCCAAAATTAGGTTGGTAAGTCAATAAAAAACGAACTGTAATTATTTAGGCCATGGGGTTTTTTGAACGGAAAAAAATTACAATGAAAATGGACAAAGTCGAGGTTAGTGGATTTGCAAATTGCAGAAATAAATAAAAACGTAAAAAAACAACTAATATTAAAACTGCATGCAGCAAAATAAAAACTCTAAAATGTGGCAACTAAGCCCACAAACCATAAGCAGACAAAAAATTGGCTGACAATTATTTTGAACGGTTTTTCTAAGTGATGGACTATGTGTGCCGGAGACGATTAGAAATTTGAATTCATTATGAAACAAGATACCAAATGATTCTGTTAAACAGGTTGTTAATCCAAAAAAAGCTATTCGGATACGTTAATGCTTGCAAATCGCAAGCTTAATATCTTTAATTGCTTTTTATCACAAAATAATTATCTATCACAGGGATTAAAGGCTTATAACTTTTGCAGCAAAATTATTTAATTCAACTTTGAAAAAAAACTGCATCTTAAAGGTTTATAAAGGAACTAATCGTTGAGCCAACGGAGTCGAGGCATGGGGAAGACGTTATTAATGATGAAATCAAGTTTCAATGATAGTTAATGGTACGAAAACCAATTTAAGATGAAAGCAGGTTATCAACTGTAAGACAAATAACCTGGCAAAAACTCTGCTTCCTTGTTCTGTTTTACGTCATGATGTATAGCTGCCGTTATTTTTCTTCCGTTGAATTTCGCATGAAATTCATTTCGCTCGATTAGAGCAGATCGTGTTTCGAAGTGTGATTTTGATTCTTATTTTCGAACGAGGCGTTTTAAACGAAGTAGTATCTTGATTTGTTTTCTTTGTTAACATTGATTTGTTTTGCGGAATTTAATTGTGTTTCTGATTTTTTTATCTATAAAAGCTATTTGTATTTCGCAGCGCGTGCTGATAGGTTGATATACACGCGTTGAAACGTGCAGTACCATTTCTAGTGTCCTTTATGAACTTTCCTAAGAGCGTTTCTTGTCCTATTCGGGCCTTACTACTTGATTGAATAGTTTGGACTTGGAGGAGCCGGAAATCCACATTTTTGACATGTATTTTGCGAGTTTCTGCACATCTTTTGTGGGCACTCTAACTTATGAAAGAAGGCGCTAAACGTCATTGCCCAAACATCTGGTAGAAGGCTATTTGTCTTCCGATGAGTAGTTCACTCCACTAACTTGTTATTTTTAAAAAGTTGAATATCCAAAACATTTTCAAATTACTTCGGCTGAAATTGGTTTGATTGACAGTCAGATAGCCCTGAAGCGTCTTTTATGCTCTAGTTGTCCACTCTTTGAACAAGTTTTTGCAAAATTTTTATTGATATGAGGTTGTTTTCATTTTTTCGCTTCCTTGAGTAGTGATAGGCTCTGTATTACCTCTGGAAGGAGACTGAGGCATGTTTTGAGCCTAAAAAGAGAATATTCAGACCAAAACTTCCACCAAGTTTTCTCTGTTCAAATTTTTTGCTTAGTTGACCTTTCTTCAAATTTCGTCTTCATGCTTTAACAGCAGTTTTATGGTCCATTGTGAATTGTGGGCTAGCATTTCTGAGCAAAAGGGGCGCTTAGTTTTAAAAGACCGTTGATTTATGTTCGATTTTGCAAATTTCTTTGACCGCTATTCTTTGGCGCCATAGATTTTATCATCCTTTTTAGGTTTTTTCATGTGATGGTTTTTTCCTCTGCACAGCAAAAAGTGTGAGACATCCGATCACTTGGGCACCGCTTGGTAGCTGTGCTTCACTGAAAGCATTGTTTTATGGAACTTAACGGCTGTTATTCGCTAAAATTAAAATATGGTCTCAGCCGCGGATCACTGGAAAAAATGTGATAATTATACAGCGAAACCATTATGGACATAATCAAATTAAAATCAAAATGGCTTATTTTGAGTGATTGACGTTAGGTCATTTTTAAAGAGTTTTTTATACTGCACACAACACAAGGTCTTGGGCTGAAAAAGAAAATTATATTTTATTGGACATCAAGTTATTGTGTTCTGAAAATTTCCAATTTATAATAATCAAATTGCGACATTCAAAAGTCGAAACATTAAGAATTTCCTGTATTTCTATCCAGAGTACCAATAGTTTATCAGCACTGGATAAATATGATTAGATTTTGATGAAACTATTCACAGAACTAGAACAGGAAAATGGGCAAGTAAGATTGGAAAAAAGACAATACGTGGTGATACACAAAAACGTAACACAAAAAACAACGGCAATTAATTATCAGTTTTTTCACTGGGAAATAATTCTAAAAGTCTTCAACAGAGCATTTCGTAAATGCCATTTGAATCTTAGAATTTAAAAAAACTTGGACAGAAACCTAGTTTCCAAAAAAAAACAACCATGTTTTTAAAATTTTAATTCGTTCAGGAAACTTGATTTTGCACACGAGCAAAATATTGCAAAGCCACTTCGGTTGAACCATTCCAAAAATTAATGGGACCAGAAAATTTCAGTGGCAAAATTTTTCCTTTTTTTATTTTTTAAGAAATTGTATATTCTGTACACAACAGCTCCAAAAATTGCTCTGCTAAAAAGAAAAAAAATTAAGTCGCTAGAATTGCTAACTCACCCAGAAAAAAATCAAAAAACAAAATCTAAAACTTATTATACAGAGGCGAGGTGTAGCTCGGCAAAATTTGCAATACAACTCAAACATAGCATTATAACCTAGACAAAAAAAATGAGACAGAAGGAATGCAACGTTGGAATGCACAAAACCAATTGTGCATAAATAATGCCATTCAAAAATCTCGGGAAAAATTTTGTAGAAAAAATTCTAGAATCAAAATTTAATTGTTATACTGTGTTGTATAAATGTTGTATATCTATGTTGAATAAAACATAAATTTTTTTGATTCATTAAATGCGAGAGCCTCCTGATGCTAAAATGACCCAAAAATTAGGACTTTTACGTCGGCTAAAAAGCGCCAAAATAAAACTTTATTTGCAACTTTGGTTGGAAAAAAGTTGATTCGTACCATTTAAAGAAACCGGAAATAGGTATTTTTATTCCTCTAGGCATTTAGAAAATTAAAGCCCATTTTTGAAACTAGAAGTCAATTACGCTGTTCAACAAAAGAAGTACCGAACTTTAAAAGAAATCATAAGTCAAACCGTGAAAACTCAAAATTGACGATTTTTTAAAAAACGGCAAAATCGTCACGACCTATGCAGTTGAAAAATCACTCCGTCTTTTACAACAAATCAGAATTGCTCAACTTACAAATGACAGAACGACTATCACTTATAGTTAAAATCGAAGATTTACGATACTTTGAAGAAAAAAATTCCATGCTTTGGAAAGTAAGACAAAAAATTAGAAGACAATCGATAATCCGACCATTCAAGTTTTGCACAAAATTTTTTTCTACACATCTATCAAAAAAAAGGTCCGGCTGGCACTTGAACCCTAGACCTCATGTTTCCAACGATAGTGCTTTACCTATTGAACAAATGGGAAGGGGCTTGAATGGTATTGAGGTTCCATAATATAGCAAGGACTATTTCTAACAGATTTGTAAGCAGTGTTTTCGGGGAAAAAGTCTAGCTTCCTATTATAAGTGCACTGGCTTTTGCTTTTTTATTCAAAATCAATTAAGCTGATAAAACATCGACATAAATCATTTTGTTATCAACTGTTTTAACCAATTTATCAAAATTCGACAAGAAATAGAAGGCGATAATTTATTGCAGTTCAGCCTTCAAACGAGCGTTAGCAGTATTATCATCAGCCACTGCAATATTAGTTCCGTGAAAAGTGTTTCCACTTTTCACGGAAGTAATATAACAAAAAAAATACCCAATTTGATAGGTTTTGCTAATAGCAAGTGTATTAATTAGTATTACTCAGATACCATGAGAAAAAGCTGGATAGTTTGAATTTAAATTTGGTAGTTACAATTCCAAACTGATTAACTATTATATTTACAAATAGATATGATTTGATGAACAATCGCTTTATACAATCAACCTTAAGTTTGCAGAAGCGCTACTGAGCTTAAATAAATTTTTATCGTTTTTGCTTTTAAAGATTTTGCCATTAAATATCCTAAAAATGGTCCCAAACATATAGCGATAACTCGCATATGAAAAATTACTATCAATATAACATTTCTGATTCTAATTCGGAAGTTCAGCTAGATAAATATATAAGGCATGTTCTATCATTATTTATGTTAACTTGTTCTTGGATACGAGCTTGTTCAATTACGTTCAGTAACGCTAAAATACAAATCTTTAGATCGTATTCCTCATCCCAGAAGAAAGCTTGTTTAACGACAAAAAATGACAAAAAAGTTTCACATGCAGCAGGCTCAAGGGAATAATTGAGTTTTGTTCTGGCAAGAACGCATTGATTTTCCTCACAGGGAACAACCGCACACGTTCTTCCTTGCCAATTACTTTAATCTACCCAATCACATTTCAGTGTTTCTGTACTTCACCATATGATTCATACATCGTTGTGTTTCACCTGCTGTCAAACGCTTTCACTCTAAAACAAAAACAATACACATGATTTATGCCAAAATGAAAAAGAAATAAACGATATTAACAATATTTGGATTAATAAGTCAGTTAGCATTTCATAAAAATTATTGAGCCATAAAAACAACCAACTGACAGTTGCAAAAGAGTTATGAACGCAAGAAAACAGGAAACAAAAACTGACTTTTATTTTCACAAAAAAATCAATTTTCGAATTTCGAAGAAAAAAATATATGCCTTTAATGCTCTTTGAATTTTGCTAGCAATCTGATAAGTATATTCCACTTTCGAAATTAGAAGTCGATCAATCAGTTTTTCGTGACCTTTACACTTTCGCTTTTCGATAGTGGTGTTTGCCTTCCTTTTAACAAATAAAACGAAGTGAATTTAAACAAAATCAAAGACAAACCGCGAAAACTCAAAATTGATTGTGAACAAATTTCCAGAAAAAAGTCACTAAGACCTACACAACACCCACTAAGTTCATTACTCTTCAAAAATGCTTCACCGTATAAAATACAAATTGGTTGTGTAGAAACCAAATATCAGCATCCAATTCACCAAAACATACGTATATATGTATTCACCAAAAAATACGTAATATGATAAACATGATAGCCTATGAATACATAATTGGATACCTTTTTGGTATTCTCCCAAGCCGCACTTTATTGTAAACGTACATTTTCATAGAACGTATGCTTATAAGTTTTTGCTTGAAAACAAAATTATTATTATTAGGATTCCGCCATCAGGTTTTTTCCTTAACCTACTTTTATTTTTCTGTTTAGGTGGCTTTTAGGTTATAGACCAAAATCAATGTAAAAGGATGGTTGATTAGATTCAAATTTTTGGCCTTTTCCTTTTACACTCATATTATTCGTTACTAAAATAGTGCTTTCATTTCATCTGATATAACCCATGATTAAGATTTTTCAACAAAATGATCATGCAAGAATTTAGGAAACATTGTTGATGAGATGTTTAAATTTAGTGACCATAATATGAAACACAGAGGCGATGCAACACAAACAAATGAAACATAAAATGTTGAAAAAAGAACTAGGTTTACCAAAATTTAAATTTTCGTAAGTCTCGGTAGATATCATTTTAGGAAAAAATGCTTTAAAACAAATAAGCAACCGAACGAAACTTACGAGGAGGAAACAAAGCCGACAATCTTTGAGATGACACAAAGGGAGCCAAAAAAAAACCTATTTTAAAACATTTTTAAGTCCCCCTGAAATTATATTGAACAAAACTTGCATGTGCAACTACAATGAAAGTTGCTTACAGCACAAGCAAAAACCGTGATGTATCAACTTAGTCGACAAAACTTGAGCAGACAACCAAAAATTCGTCAATTCAATTTTACCGCAAAAATTTTCAATTGCATACACACTGAAAAAAAAACGGTCCGGCCGGAACTCAAACCCTGACTTTAGGGTGCAAAGGCGAGGGCGTTATCTCTTGACCAAATGGGAACGAACCTGGAGGCTCTTAAGCTTCAATAATCAAGCAAGTAAGAAAAAAGAAAGATTTAAAAGAAAAGTTGTTAACCGGAAAAAGTCTAATTCCCAATTAAAAGACGCTTGCTTTCGCAAGCGCCATAAAGATCACTATTGTGTAGAAACTGTAGGATTGTTTCAAAAATGAGATATCTAGTACAGAAACCGCTACTATTACCAAACTACAAGAGCAACGTCAAACTCATAATTCACACAGAGGCGAAGCGGAGCTTCGCATCACTTGGAATACAACACAAACATAAACAACATAAGTTGCTGAAAAAAGCTGCAAGAAACTAGGTCTACCAAAAATCAAATTTTCTGATGACTCGATACAAATTCATTTTAGGCACATTTGATTATTACATTAGCAACAGAACGAAAGTTACGATCAACAAGCAAGGCCGACAATCTTTGAGCAGACACAAGAAGAGCCGAAAAAAAAATCAAATAAAAAAATCAAGAAAAAGATAAATAATAAAAAATTAAAAAAATAGTTAAAAGTTAATTTAAAAATATGAAATCTTTTAACTCTCCCCTGAAACACCAATGCACAACATTTGCACTTGCAACTAGACAATTCAATTTAACCGGAAAATTTTCAATTACCAGGCTGGTTTTAAGAAGTAGATCCGAGTATTCACAACGTTCATGAATCTTAAAAAACCATGACACCAAACTTGTACATGAAAAAAAAACAACAAATAGTTGGAAAAGAGTCATGAAAGCAAGGAAACAGAAATAATACTGACTTGAACTTTGAAAAAAAACTTTCAACTTTCGGAGAGTAAAGTAAAAATATATTAAGACATTTAAGCTCTTTCAATTTCTAGAACAATATATGAACCGAAATTGAGACCCAGAGGAGAAGTTGCACTTCGCATACAAAAGCAAAAATATGACCGACAACGCTATTGGAAAAAACTGAATGAGTAAAACTTCGAGCCTACAAAATTTCTTCAGTGACACACGCCAATTATGAGTCTACATAATTGCTAAGTGACGCAAACCAATTATGCCGCATTAGTAGTACCAGCCAATTTGAAAAAAAACCAACTAGCATGTCTCAATTTATAAAGCTGACGCATTTTATTTAGTATACAAAAAAGATCATAAAAAATCTGACCCTCCCCAGGTTCGAACCCTCTTATTTTGCTGCTGGTCTCCTTCCCTGCATCTACGCCAAAGCTAAAGTGCTATTTGCAATATAATAGTGTGTTAATATCCTTAGCATTGGCTGTTCTTAACAGCTAGATCAAAATGAAATTTCAAAATGAACACATTTTGTCGCAACAATTGCATCGCAAAAATATTTGCGACTTAGGTTGAAAAAGAAAAAAAGTTCATATTATAACACAGGCTATGCTTGTTTAAAAACTGGATCAATAGGTAAAACTTTTATAGGTTTTTCGGGACCTTTACACTTTTGTCGTCCAATAGTGAAGTTTGCCTTCCTTTTAACAAAGGAAATGAACTGAACTTGAAAAATCAAACCGCAATCAGATTTTAGCGTGAACAATTTTTTCCTGAAAAAAACCAACAAAAAAATCATCAAGACCTACAAAACTATTCATTACGTTCATGACTCTAATAAATCAAAAATATGAATTTAGAAATGATTTTGGTTGCTATTTGATTTTCTACTAAAGCCACTATCTGATTTTCATTGTTTTTTTTTTACAATTGTTGCGTTTTATATTTTTACAAATTAAATTATTTTACGTCGCACGAGATGTTCATGACGCTTCTCAATAACTCAGTTGCTTGTCCTTAGCCTCATATGAACTGCCCTGGCTCATCGTGCCATGCCGCATTTATTATAGTCAAGAACGCTAAAAAGGCCTGGTAACCAAGTCAACCGATGGACATGTACATAGCCAACAGACAGTTGGAGAAGAGACGCAAGTAAACAGAAAAAATAGACTTGTTTTTTGAAGAAAAAAAAATCTCAAATTTAGAATTTCAAAGTAACAAATCTATGGTCTTCATGCTCTTTGAATTTCAGGACGAATTTATGATGGATACTTTTTTGATTAATATATATGACTGCACATCTGTTGTTTTTGGAGCATATTAAGACTTTTTCCTGGAAAAATAACCAAGACCAATAAAAGACTCTTCACTACGTTCTACAACTCTTAATTAGGTGCATCCTTCATTTATACTACAAATATCTCGTAAAAGCTGGTGCTAGCTTGAAGAAGATTCAGCTTCAATTGTAAACATTGGGTACAGATACTAACTATATTGCTGATGTGCTGAAGCCTCTATCCATAATAGTATACACAGCGACTACGACTGTACTCTTGAGGAGTAGAAGGAGAGGAGCCAGGTGGTGTAGTTCCAGGAGAACATGATTGAGAGACAGTAGAGGAAGAGGGTGGGCAGGAGTGGGTAGAGGAGCAGTTGGGTCGAGTGGAGGATGGAGAGGGAGGAGTAGCCGAGGAAGGTGATGTAGACATAGTAGCCCACAGACACCACCCATAGTAGATTGCCAATGGCCACACTTGCCACGTTGCTATGCGTCACCACTGAAGAACCACCAAAAAACATTCAGCTAGCTGTATTTTAAAATGTGCAAGAATTGAGATCTTTTGGAAAAAAACTAAGACTTTCTTTGCCGAGAACATAAAACTTCGCGCCAGATCATATTTCAAATGTGTTTTAAAAAACACGTTGAAGCGTCATGGCGGCCCAGATAAAGTAAATGCTCGAACAATTGAATCATTGAGAAACAAATTTATTTATAGAGTAAGGATTTCTACAATTTTAATCAGCACTGATTGTGCTAAATTTTACCCATGAAATTTCATATTATGCTGAATTTTTTTTTGTTAAGCTTTACGTGAAATCAGCAGAAGAATGACTCCATGTAGAATAGTGATCACTGGCACGATTGCATTGAGGTGGATGTCGAATGCATACGCCCACTCGATCTCAGACTCGCCAACTTCACCGAGACTAGCGCCAACCCCTCCACCCATCCCTGGACGTCTGTGACGGGACTGCATGACTAAGTATCGGTTGGCCAGAAACCTGCCAATTGGTAACCTCAATGATGGTCTTTCCATAATTTCTAAATGCTTTGGCTAATTATGGACTCTTTTACACATAAATCAAAACTGACGCAAAATATTTCTTATTATATTACTGATTCCAACAGCTTTAAATGGTCACTTTGGTGTCTCTAGAAAAATGATTTTTGATCGAATAACTACATGCACAATCAGCATGCTTAAATTCTTCAACCAAAGCCTTTACGTAGATTTTAATTATTTTGATGACTCTGAACTGACCATAGAGTGGTGGCAACTAGCATGCCGACTGCGATAGTGTCCACGAACACAGTCCATAAAAAGAACTTCAGGAACCCGAAGAAGCCCAGACCAAGTACGACAGAGAACACAGCCGAGGACACTAAACAGCTGGTGTTGATATTATGCGGGAGAAACACGTTACTGCTACATCAAATTTTGCTGCTAAAAACTGACTGCAGATAAAAACTAGCGTACAAATTTATTTAAAGGAAGAATTCAAAAATATTTAATCAGCCATTGTTTATCCTCAGATTCTGTCAATCATAAGTTGAGGTCAATGGTTAAAAAATGGACTATAATTATTCTCACTAACTATTATCAAGTGAAAGAGAAGTGAAATTCTGAGAGTTAAACCTATCTCATAAGCGAACTGCAAGAAATCATTAAAGACATATCATGCAGCTATCAAGTTCTGGTAATTTTACCTGTTAGACAGATTGCCAATAGCACCAGGAAAGCTGGGTCATCTCTCGCGTACTGGTTCTTCGTACCTGAAATCACAATCTCCTAAACTATATACCTCTTTGAAAACCAGCTTCGCTTGACGACTTTAGACCGAATACCTCGTTTATTACGTCAATTGTGCTTCAAAAACTCAATCATGAAAATAATACCGCAGTCAAACTCCTAAAAATAAGCTATCGTAGTTTTGTTGTCGAGGACGCTCAGTTTCATGACGAATAGTCCTATAGTAGATTTTTCCACGAACCAATTTCTGTTCAGCTTACTTAGATATGGTCACGAACTCGCTGATATTTATTAACGAAAAGGAGCCCAAGAAATCCCCGTTTTTTCTACAGTGACAGTATTTTCTATCGTCGATCAAACCAGTTGTAACGCAACCTATAGTAATTGCTATCTCAGCCTTGGAAAAATTGATTTCAGTGTAAAGTAATGCATAAGCCTGCTTTTTCCTGTTCATTTTAATTTAATTTTCCAGCAGTAATTATCAGGAAAGTGGAATTTTAAGACTCACTGTATCGGTACTGGAAATTTCGGTAGACTTTCTGAGGTGACACGAATAAATACAAGAACTGCCAGAGCGCAAACTCGAAGTCCATCTGGCGGAACTTGACCAGTCGTCGGAGGAACTTCTTTCTCTTTTCCGCCGCACTCTTCTGTTTGAAGGATGAAGGGCCGGACCCGCCAGGGTAAAATGCGGAGGGAAGACCCCCTTCAGGGCACAGAGAAGCTGTGCTGAACATTACTTTGACCTTGCTCGATATTATTTTCCAAGTATCGCTTTTTAAAAATACCTCCAACAAAGGTCAATTGTGGTCTTTACAGGTAAAACACTAATTGGTCCAATTTCTCTTTAATATTTATTGTTACACGTCACTTTGTCCATTTTAGGCAATCGAGCAATACTCATTGTTTAAGTCAGATATCTGAAAATGAAGGCATCAGATTTAATTATAGCTTAACAATCATTTCAGCGGTTATACGTTGGGAGCGCTGAGTCTTTAACCAGCTAACTTTTATAATCATAATATTTCAAGCTTTCTGAACTTCTGTAGCTACCACTGCTGGTTGCAGAAGAGATCTTGGTTTTTCGTGAAGGGATATTGACAAAAAAAACATCGCCAAAACGCAGTTGGAAGTGTCAGTTGGGAAAGCAAACAATACAAAGTCCTTAAAACTATTTTTATTTCAAGCATCTTTTATTATTGACATTTTATTGATATACAGTGCTGATTCAAATTAACCGGACAAAACTTGACTTTTCAAACGCGTTTTTCTCAAATTGGGCTAAAATTAGATAAAAACTGAACAGAACAAAAGTTAATTACAATTTCACCAGAATTAATATGGTGCAATTTTTTCTCCGAAATGCTCAACCAAAATTCTATCCCAAAAATAGGCCATTTTTTAATTGATCAAGAATTGAGCTGAAACTACTTGGTTAATAGATGAGAAAATTACATCACAAGAAGCCTCTTACACAGGCCAACAAAGTTCTAGGAGGGTTAAATCTCCAAAAACCTGTAAAAGAGAACTTTTCTTGATAGTCAAGAAATAAGATTTTTACTATATAAAACACATAATCTTTGCTTAACCACAAATTTTAAAGAACTTGCTCAAATTTTTGGGCTTTAACCCTTTTAGAACTTTGTTGGGCTGTGCAAGGGGCTTCTTGTTATACAATTTTCTCCGTGTCAGGACATTTGTGTCCCAGACATTTATGTCCCGGCAAAAACAGTCCAAAATGCAAAAAGTGTCCAAGACATTTGGTTCCCAGGCAAAATTGTCCCAAAATTGTCCAGGCTATTGCCACACTAGTTAATGACCGGATTAATTTGATAAGCTCTCAATAGGAAGGATTAAATTGATAAGGCCACGCAACTGAGCAATTAGACCAGAAATTACTTCGCGCAGCATATTAGAGACGAAATTAACACAGGACTCAAATCATTTACACATACCTACACAATTATTGCTTGATTGATAATGTTGCCAAACGTAGACACGAGAGATCATAATTTCATTGTTATTGCTCTCGGGTTCGTGTTGACAATGGAAATTCTTATAACAAATAAAAACAACGAAATGCTAGTTTATGATGCATACGCATAATTCAAACATCGGATACTAACAGACACCTCAATTTCGTGGCGATGTGTTTTATCTAAATGCAATGGTCGTGTGCGCACTTTCCAAGATAACGTCACTATAATAAATGAACACAGTCATTTTCCCGATCCAGCCGATATTGAAAAACGAAAATTCAGGACAGCTCTCAAAACAAGAGCAGTTGTGTCAGATGAGCCACCCCGTCAAACAATTCTTTCCGTCCAAAGAGACATCAACAGAGAGACTGCAGCAGTAATCCCGAGCTATTCTGCCAACCAGAGGACAATTAACAGAGTAAAACAGGAAAAACGGCCCAGAATGCAGGAACCCCAATCCCTAACTGATTTTGAACTGCCAGAGTTGCTGAAAGTGACACGCAGCGGCGAGCGTTTCCTTCATTTTGACTCTGGACCTAATGATACCAAGCGAATAATGGTTTTCACCACTCTTCCAGGACTCGACCTTCTCAGTGGCGCTGATGATTGGTTCTGCGATGGCACCTTTTCTACGGCCCCGAGTGTGTTCTTTCAGATATACACTATCCACGCTTCAGTCGAGGGAATTCTGATTCATATTGTGTATGCATTGCTTCCAGACAAGAAAGAAGAAACGTATTTTCGCCTTTTGAGCTGCTTCGACATTGAATTCCCTAAGCGAGCCACCATTGATTTCGAAATAGCGGTCAAAAATGCGTTCAATTCAGTATCCAAAAATGTACAAATTCAATACTGTTATTTCCATTTGAGCCAAAGCGTCTGGCGTCACATTCAGTCTACTGGGAACACAAACAACTACAGACTAGATCTGGAATTCCGAGAGCATGTCCGAATGCTGCTGAGTATCGCTTTCCTGCCTGTAAGTGATGTTTCTACTGCTTTCGAAACTCTTCAGAAGACATGCCCTGAGACAGCCCACCCAATCTTCAATTACTTTGAGGACAAATACGTTGGTCGGCTCTCGGCGGCAAATGGAACTAGTCAAATCCCCAGATTTGACGTTGACAGCTGGAGTTGTCATCAACGCGTAATAACCGGGCGACCCAAAATTAAGTTTTTCATTCCACTGGAAAATCTAAAAAACTGAAACCAACATTCAAAACTGTAAGTCAATTAAATTTTTTGCGCCACTCGCACTTTCGTGAGAGTGCAATGATCCTTCGATTCAGGTAATGAAATTGAGTTGAACAAAAACAAACCGCTCATTATCAAACTGCCAAATCATTATAATACAGTGAATTTCATCCCGTAAACTGGACATATGCTCAATCATCGAATTAGTCCTTTAATAAAGGAGGAAATTCTTTAGTAGATACCATCGGGGGATGGTTAACATGAGCCTGAAAGGGTTATCAGAATTCGAACGAAAAAAATAGGGACAAGTCAACAACATGTGAACAAAACTAAAGCAATCATACAGTTGGAAAAAGGTCAATAACTCCAGGAAAAATCATCATCATCATCATCCTTGAGTTTTACTGCATTTTTCCAATTTCAAACACATATCCTGAAAATCCTTTAATTTCAAATATATTTTCTAATTTAATTTAACTTTTGTAATCTTTTTTTTGTAAAGGGCGATTGAATTAGGTTTAAAATGAGAAAAAACGGAGGATAACATTTGGAGACCAGCCTCTGATCATCTTGTCTTATTTAGTCTGAAAACCCGCAAAGATTGAGTAAAACGTTTTTCCCCACACAGAATTTTAAAGTAACACAGCGTAAAACGTTTGACCCGACATAGAGATTAACGTTTTTGCCATTGATTTTTTTACAATCCGAATTGCGGCTAAAAATGCTTTAACATGACACCCCATATCATCCCGTACGATCTTTATTTGAGGTGGTCACAATCGGCTCAAAAACACTTTACGTCATACTAGCCACGTGAAGTGGTCGGAACAACAAGTCGCTTGAGTAAAAGGTTGACTACAATGGGATCCTGCAACGAAGCAGTAAACTAAATCCTAAAACAAGTCATGATGGAAATGGCCCATGCTATACGCCAAGTCAAAATATAGTTGAAAACATATTTCCTACCGTTTAGTTTTGAATTAACATTTGGAAGATGAAAAAAGTCAAGTTAGAAACAATTCAAGTAATGTACAAAATAGAACTAGTTGATCTCTTTTAGCATAGGAAATCAAATCAGTCATTTAAAAAACTATTACTTCGGACTAAGGAGATGTGTTGTTTTCTGTCTCGTGTTTTATCTCTGCCCGGTCCATGGCTTGGTAAATTTCCACGTGAATAGAGCGGCAGCCCCTAAACTGACAGTGAACAGAGTGTTTTCCTGGAAGAGAAGGAACCGTTCTCTATTTTCACTCGGGGGTTGCTTCAGAGGGTAGAACAAATTGCCCCAACAGTTTTCATTGACATCGCAGTTCTCCCTTCGATCCCATTCCAACTCGCTTTTAGTTTTTCTAGGCTGCGTCGCCGGGTTAGGAAAAGTGAAAAATTTCGTATGCAGGTAGAACGGGAACTTCTGCGTTTCACTCGAATTAGGCTCGCATAGGTCAGGACGCTTCAGTTGGAAACAGTTCAACTCTATATCAGAATAGAGTTCTCTAAGCCTCGCGCCTACTAATTCGAACTGGACCACTCCGTCAACCAAACCAGAATCAGACACCAAAAATTCGAAAGAATATCCACTTGGGACATCTTTACATGTAGCTCCTCTTGAGGAGTAAATGTCGCCACTTTCAGGTACAGGATCTACTTGCAGCACATCCATTACATTTTCAGCTAATTGACCCCACGGCCCAGAGGGGTCTGATGACGTCATAAAAGGAACCCAGTCCTCTAAAGCAGCGACATCCGAATTGCCCTTCTTGCCCATGTAAACATTCGAAGGCATAGCTGGAAGCATATTTGTAAACTTTGAGGCAATAGTGGAACAGTTATCGAAGTCATTGTAAGCTAGTTCTACGAAACACAACGAAGTATAGTTAGTGTTAAACAAGAGCGGTGTCGTTCGATCGACATTGCAGAGCCCAGAGCCATCCGGAAGGGGAAATTGGATGTTATTGAGACTCGCTGAAAGCGATACCAGGACGGCATCGTTATTGAAACTGCCAAGAGCCTGTCTTAAGGGCAATTGGTTCAAGTAACCCGGATTTCCAGATCTCTCAAGCTCTGCTGAACTGTCAACCTCGCTCAGAGTTGCATTGTAGACAAAATATACCTCAAATTTCTGTGACAGTCCAGGAAGAACACTCTGAGAGTCAGGCGCCGTTGACGTCAGAAAATCAGCGTAAGATGGATTGACAGTAACAGAATTCGGATTTGTTGGTTCTGTAAAAGCAGCGGCTGCAGGTGAAACTTCATCGCGTACGAAAGAAAACAACTGTGGCGGTTGATAAGTATCCGGAATCACTCCTACGCTGCCTAACACAAGAGTAGTTTCATAGGATATGATAGATGATCCTTTCCAGTTAAAGACGTATTTCGCACCCAGTAATGCATTTGCACACCTGGCTGTTGTACCTTGAATGAAATCGGGTTCGGGTGGGAGAACTTCAGATTGATCATTGAACCAACACAGAGGCGGCAAAACAGATCGGTCAGTCAAATACGCATTCAGTTCAGCTTCAGTTCTTGCACAATAATACGTGCTGGTTGCAGGGATGCTAACAGTTCCATTAGTAAGCTCAAAATAACTATAGAGGGGCACCGGAAACGTTCTTTCACTTGAAACAAGGTAGTTTCTGGCACTGAACTGAGAATCTGGTCTTGTACATTCAGTTTGAGTGATTTCAACGGGACAACTAACGGATGAGTCCACTAAGAATGGAACAATCTTATTGCGAGCACACATACCACCTAAAAACTGACCAGGAAATGTAAGCCGTTCAGATTGCGCAATCGCACTGGGGTCAAAAGAACGTGTCTGCCCTCTCATATTCTCTCCTCTTTCCGAGTACTGAAACGAGCTATCTGTGGAAAGCATTCGTGCTGAAAGGTCGTAACCAGTGTCGGTTCCTTCATCGGTTTCTCCTTTATCTGGAAAATAGTATCCGATCCAGTTCGGAGACTCAGTTTCTACGCAGAAGAATGGATTGGTATCCTCTGAGTCTTCGCAGTACCCTCCCATTCCTGATTTAGGAGTTTGCTCTGATTCCAGAGGCTCGGTACAATCGAACAGATCTATGGTTGCAGTTGTACAGTCTGCAGTGTCGCAGCAGCAGTTGATGTCACATTTCCCGTAGGTAAGATCACATTGACATCCCGCTGTTTCCACCCACTCCGGGTTCTGTATGACACTTTTAACATCTCCACTCAAGGCCAATTGTCCCATCTGTACGAAAGAGTTTAGTACCAAAATTTCGGCAATATTCGTCGCCACTTGGTTTCTGTCACAGCAAACAATCCTTACTGTATCTCTTGAGTAGGCCACTTCAGAGTTAACAACAACAGCCAACGAAGAGACTCCACGTGGAACAAGCGGACTCTCAGGGCTTATGCTCCATTGAATATCTCGCTCTTCTCCCGTTAAATCTAAGCCACATTGTTCAGTTTCAAATGTGCTGTAATGCGTTTCCCCTTGGTTATTTGGTGATTCCTGCTCCGAGAACACGAAACATGTGAACTCCAGCTGAGCATGATGGCGCTCTACTAGTTGTAAATATACCACAGCTGAACTCCCTGATACAGTTTGCTTGTTTGGATTCAAAGAGGCCTCAATAGGTTGTACCTCAAGTGTTGCTTCGTTCGAGTCTGACGTTTGAGGAAGGTACTGAAAGTCCAGGGAAAAGGCTTCGCAAGTAAAAGTTACGGTCGATCCCGGATCAGCTGTGTCATCATCGATGCTGACATTCACTGATACTGAGTATATCGGGTCCACGGGCGTTAGAACTACTTGGTCTGAAAAAGTGACCTTTAGTCCGTCCTCGCTAACAGTTGAACAACTAATTCGAGTATCGCTTGTTGGACTGCTCGACATACGAACAGTCAGACTGTAAACAGTCTCGTTATCCAGGTCATTTGGCAGGTAAACTTTCTCAGGGTAGATTGAGAGTTTGGGCGGGAACTTGATCTGGACTTGAGTAGATGCCGATAGTTGCACATTATTAGCTAGGTTCGTAGATTGGCATGAAATTGTGGAATATCCACCGGGCGACGACCCATCGTTTAGAGTTTGACCCCATTCTAGAGAAGCTAGGCTTATTGCTGCAGTGTTTCCGGAAAATGTCAGAGAAGTAGTAGTGAGCTGCGGCTGAGTGGCAGAAGTGAAATAAAAACTAGCACTGTCTGTATATGTTTGAGTTATCGAACAATCCACCGAAATATCACCAGTCAAACTATCTCGTTCTAATTGCAGTTGAATTTCATCGGAAGCCGTCTCGCTATTTCTGCCCTTATTCCATTCGTAAGTGTAGCTATCAGCCTCAAAAAAAATTCTCTGGCTATTTGAAAGAGAAAATAAGAAGCACAACAGAAACGCTCTAGTCATTGCTCAGTAAAAAATTATTATATGCACACAATACACAACGAATTATAACGCATGTGCTAAAAAAGATACAAAGTTAAAAACATACGAACAAATATTTTTATGCAATAGCTGCAAAAAAATGCTCAGACACGTAAAATGATACACTTCGCCATCAAATCTATCAAAAACAATATATTTGAATAAAAAGCGCTTTTTCCACTCTTCTCCCATATTTGGCTCTTTTCCAGTCCCCCCCCCCTTTTAACTTCAATTTTGAAAAGCTTATTTAACGTTGTCATAATGCAATGAAACTTGGCGTGGTGAACAAATCGACAACAGTGAACAGATTTGTTCTTCATACTTTACTTCGTAACATCACGCATTTAGCCGTAATAGTACAAAAAACAAACATAAAACTCGATATTTTGAAAGGTGGGGGGGGGAGTGGAAAAGAGCCCTATATTTGAATTTATATTTCAAAAACTAACATAATGTTGTTGATGGCAATAAAGTTTTGCATGAACAAATTAGCTAGCCGGAACACGATTGTATTTCATACACTATTTGTTCACATTGTCCGATTGTAATGAAAAATGACATCCCTAATTAGGCCACGGCAAATATAATTGGTCTTCGTACTCTACCTTGTAAAACTACTCGTTACGCCATAAAATTGATGCTCGTACGAGGCGAGGGGAAAAAAAGAAAAAACATCGACAACAAATTTTCTCATATAAAATAAACAGAAAAACTACAAAAAAAATGCTGAAATTTTTGAAATTTGCTGCATAAAATTTTTAATTTTTTTTTTTCAGTTTTATTCTCACAAAAAGGAGCCAAAATATTTCGAATAATAATTTCACTGCAGCAAAACTGAGTCTTCACGTTTTAACTTGATTTATCTGCCAATATCTTATAGCAAAGATTTATCTTTGCTATTTATGCCAACTTAAGCCTATGATAAAACTGCTCGATTGCTTCGTTTGCTCGAAAGAAGACTAAAATCGAAAATTTCCAACCGGTTTTTCTCGACAATGAGAGAAATAATTTTAAAGGGCTTTAATATGATATCAGTCTACCCATTCAGACAAACAACAAAACACCCGTGTTGGAAATAAACGATTTAGAAAAATGTGCCATCCCCTTTTCACCAAATATAAAGAATTTAAGCGGTGTACATTCGTTTCACGAAAATGTCTATGACGACAAATGAGTTTGTACTTGTGTATTTATGATATAATTTGACTTTCATAAAAATTATTCGAAAAAGTGGTCATACCAGAAAATATTTTCCTGTTTGTGCGAACTTGTTCATTAATAAGTTTGACTTCAGAACCAAAAAGACAATGAAGACTTAAAATCACCTGAGTCCTAAAAATCTGGCAACAACAACCAATTTTTTTTAAGTAACACCCCACAAGGAAAATTGAGCCCCTCAGTCAACTACTCCCCAATCTTCTCAGCTCTTGAAAAGTTCCTTTAGCTTCAACTACTCAAGGTTACCATTAGTCAACTTCTCAAGGGTCCCAATCTTGTCCGCTATTCAAGGGTCCCAATAGTCTTCTACTCAAGTCGATATCGCTTGCAGCAGATTTAGTTTACCAACGCAATTGCGTGCCGCCGTTCGAGCGAACAACTTTATGTGAACTCATGCAGTTGTCGTTGCAGAACATTTCTTTCCAATGCCTGGCTATTCAATTCTGTGCTCTTGCTGTAAATTTTGGCTTCCACAGGAAGTGCACAAACTTCATGTGTGGTTGCATTTGGTGTGGATAAGTGCGGACAGTTGCAGTGCTTTCTACACCTGCAAAGTTTTTCGTCAGGTACATTGACGATGTTCTTCGGGCCATCAAGCAAACGGACCTTGACAAAGTGTTTACAGCAGTCAACAGCTTGCATCAGAACGTGAAGTTCACAATTGAAAAGAAGGAAAACGCTTACTTTGCTTTCCTGGACATGAGTATCAAGCACATCAACAACAAGCTATCACTTATGGAGCTATCACTTAGTTTACGTATCCTTGACTTGTCTAGACTCATTTTCAATTTATCACTTCTTACTGCTTATACCCTCAATTCGATTGCTAGTGTCCTTGTAGTCTGACTACTGATAACAAAAACACAACCTAATAAATTGCAAAAGTTTCACTTAAATAGTGACCACGAATCCTTTTATGTTATCACAGTACAGCGTGTATACAATTTATTCACAATAATCGATTATTAGTTGTAACAGTCGCCTACTTCGGTCACATATGAGGCTTAAGAAAAATAGGCCCTATAACCATTGGCTCAAGAGTCAGGGACACTATCTCTTGTGTTTTTCTACCTCAAAAACGGTCGGAGCCAATTCGGTTCGCTTGCGACATGAGACTAGAACCCGTTACAGCTTAAAGGCCACTGCCAAAATATCCCCCCACTCTAGAAAATAAAAACGTTCCCATACTTAGTTCTCGAAATACCCAAAATACACGAACGCCGTTAAAAACAGGGTCGGAACAATCCGTTAAGTTATTTTTTATTAGGCAGTGGAACTTTGATCCATTTCAGATGGATCAACCTAAAACTCGCCTTATCTCAACATAACAATCATAAAACACACTCGAGAAAACTAAATTTGGTACTTACTTAGCAGCACGCTTGAGACACAGAGTAATTAAACTAATTAACGACTCTGGCATAAATATAATCAAATATAACTCAAGAAGTTTTCTAACGATGAGTCCCAATCAAGGGAAGTAAGTTTTAACTCAAGAATATAGTTTTGGCTCTGGACCATTGGGAGACTTCACTTGTCCGCCTTTCCGTTGAAGGTTCACACTGGTCCATTTGATTTTAGCTCTGCTCTCGTGTTCGTTTGGTCTCCTATGTCAGATAGGACAGCTCTACTCTAGTTTTCTACGTTGGAAATTGCGAATAGGGATTTCCCACTGTATATATTTGACAACTTTCCCGCAATTGTTAATTCGGTCGTTCTGATTTTTCATTTTATGTTTTCAGTTGTCGCGAGAAAACTGAGCATGACAGGCTCCATTCGAATTTTTGAAAAATAAAACTTCACTCCAAAATCACGTATATTCGTGTCCCTCAAGGTCAAACTTCCAGATATGACCGACTGGCACATACTCCCCGACTCAAGATCGATGTCCTCATCGCGTGCTGCCTCTGTCAGTGAATCCCCAGAAACCCGAGTGTTACTCAAGATACAGTGCCAGTGGTCATTTACAGAAGTTTGCAGCAGACTTAAGTTTATCTACACCCCAAAATTCACAACCATGTAAAATTTTCACACTATCGCCAAACAGCAATCGAAATCTGCACACACCTGCACCTGTGAATTTTTGCTTTTCAAGCTAGTAATTTAAAATTTCTTTTGTCCTATTCAATCAGGAAATTTTCATGCAGCATTTTGATTTATATAATAGATATAGCATATTATTAACAATATCTCATTTGTTAAAATTTCTTTTTGGTGAACCCAGATTTCATCCGAGTTCACCATCGAGCCCCCTTTCCTCTCAAGACTCAAGACTCTAGAATTCCCTTTTGAGCCACCGGCTCACCTCGCGTTCTTCGCCTTCGAGGTACCAGACCCAGATGTATTTGACACCGTGATCTGTTTCAATAGTGCCTCTTCATCATCGGAGCTGATCACGATCTCCTCCCAAGCCTTCAGCTGTTCATAGGATCGCATCCACTCCCTTTGCTCCTGCAATCTCTTCGCTTGATTGGGTAAACTCTTCACCTTCGACTCTCGGTTCAAACAGAAGGAATTGTGAAAACTCAGGCTCGCATTCTTCGCCAGGTCTTCCTCTAGTATCGACTCCCTCGCTCTGGTGTTGTTTCTGGATACTCTACCAACTCTTTTCCACCCCGTCGTGATCGCATTTCGATGGGTCAGCAGAGGTCTCTTGAAGGCCTCCGGTCCTATCTCGGCCTGGAACTGTCGATATTCTTTTTGATATTTCCTCATATGATCCTTCGTTACCATGTATAACCAGGACGTTAACGTCGCTCGAAACCAAGGAAAAAACCTTAAGCGGCTCCATACGTGTCTGACTTCCATTGGTATGGCGAACACCTTGCATGCGGTCTCAAACAACTCAAATCTCCTGCTGTAATCTATCGCGTAAATCGACTCTGCCGTTGGCGTCTTCGATTCCCGATACTTTGCTACATTTTCTTCAATCCATCGTGGGGCCAGCATCGTGCTCACCAGCAAGATGGTCACCTTTTGCTGATGATCGGGCAGTCCCAACGACCTGATTTCCTCCACATCCCAGATCAGGCAGAGATTCGCGTGATCCGGGTACCACACTGTTTGCGCCAGACAGTGGCATGGACAATCCCCATGTGTGAGGTCGATGCTCCTAAGATTGCGTTCTCCCGAGGCTTCTAGGAGAGGCTCAAGTTCCATCATTTTCTCGTGTATCACGTCTATCTCTTCCAGGTTTGTAGCACCAACCATAGGTTTCCCGATCACGTTTTGTCTCTCGTGGTCACTTGTGCTTTCACCTTCCAAACCCAGAAGTTCTTCCCCCCAGATTTCACTCAAGTCGTCCCTCTGTTCTTTCGGCACTGTCCCTCGGATTTTCCTCAACAGCTTGTGTGAGTGATGCGACATCCGAGCCAGTCTTACGCATTTGGGCGCTGAGAAGGCTTTGTCTATCAATACCCTTTGGCTGGATACTTCCACCATCGCCATGTGTAATGGATAGTGGCTGCCACATAGGTTGGCCATCACTGACCCCACTAAGGACTTCGCATTTAGAGGCAGACCGTAGGCTTCGCTCATGGGAAATCCCATTTTTTGCTTCAAGTCCAACCTTCCAGCTCTTGATGTGTTTCTGGGTCACTTGCAACAGCCCGGGCCATGACTCCACGCTCAACGCGGTCACCAAGTGGTGTTCTGACTCTAGCCTCTCCAGTGACTGGAGACTGCACATTCTTGAGAAGAATCCCAGAGCTGTTGCTAGGTTCAAAGTGGAACTCGCGTAACACTCAGCCACTATCTGTATTTCACTCTTCTCCCTTTCGGTAATGTCTTCAAACCAGGTGACTAGGTCTTCTTTCTGGAAGGACTGTATCCTGACGCATGACCGTCCATCGCAGGTGTGCTCGCCATTTCCACACGTCGAATCAAGACAACTGCCCGGCTCCATTTTCTTCACCGACCCTAGTCTACTCGTCACTTCACTTGACTCCTTCACCTGAGGCAGGATCACTATATGCACTATACTCAATGTCGCCAGATCTTCATCCTCTAATGGTGCTAGTCTCACTCGCTCCGT